ATAATGAAACATCATACACTCACAGACTCTCTTGGACTTAATCGTAAAATTTTTGCAAAAATGAAGATAAACTTTACCATCCAAAGATAAAGCCACTCTATGACATAAAAATTGGAAGGCCAGCACTGCAGTATAGGTTAAGCCTCCGCCTGCAGTTCCAGAATCCCTTATGGGCACCGGTTCGAGTCCCAGCTGCTCTACTTCAGTTCCAGCCCCCTGCTAATGCACCTGGAAAGCAGCAGAAGATGGCCCAAGTCCATGGGCCCCTAGACCCACATAGGAGACCCAGAAGAAGGTCCTGGCTCCTGACGTCCACCTGGGTAGCCCCCAGCTATTGCAGCCATTTGGGAACTGAACCAGTGGATGAAAGATTCATTCATTCATTCATTCTCTCTCTCTCTCCTCCCTTCTCTCTCTCTATCTCTGGCTTTCAAATAACTAAATATTTAAAAAGTACATATATATGCATATATATTTCTCTGGTGATTAACCAAGATTTTGTAATCTAACTTACTTAGAAATTATCCATTATTCAAATATTTTTATGGATTAATCAAATTTATTATTAATGCTAGGTCTAATGATTAATCAGGTAGGAGTATGTTTATGCTAACACTACAACTTAATGTTTATATCAAGAGTTTTTTTCAGACCTATAGTTCAATTTAGTTATATCTTTTTACATTTTCAGAATTTTAAACGTATGGGAAGAATTGTTACCTTATCTATTAAGTAAAACCAGGATAGGAAATTTGGAAATTCCATATTAGTTAATATCTCCATGCAAAAACCAACCTAAATCTTAAAAAATAATAAGATTTCATGCTGATACAGTGTGGAAACATATGTAAAACTCTAGTTTTTTATTTGAAATATTCATATGCTGCAAAATTTACTATTTTAATGTGAACAATTAATTTTTAGGGCATTTATAAAGTTATATAATCATCATCACTATGTAATGCCAGAATATCTCATCATACCCAGATACTTGTACCCACTGCAGTCATCTCAGTCCCCTCTCTTTAGCCACTCAGTACTAGGATAACACAAGTCTGCACTGTCTTTCTTTGGATTTGACTAATAAGATCATTTAAATGGAATCATACAGTATACAGGCTTTTGTATCTCACTTCTTTCACATAACATAGAATGTTTTCAATTTCATCTATTTTACATCATCATTTGGTATTTCATTCCTTTTTGTGGTTGATAATTTCACATTGTGTGTGTGTACAACATTTTGATTATCCATTTAAGAGTTGATGAGTATTTGAGTTTATAGTTTTGACTAATTAATAAGATTGATATAAACAGCCATGTATGTGTTCATATAGAAAAGTCTTCATTTATCTTGAGTGTAAAAGGTCAATTTAAGTAAAATCAGACAAAAAGTGTCTCTGAAGAATAGTGATCTTTATTTGGGAATATCAGAGCATTGCATTGGAAATACACTTGCCATTGTAAACCATGAGCATATTTGAAGAGTTTGAGGCAAGAGAACATTTTTAAATGTTAAATGAGTAGTGTTACATAAGATACTTTGAAATTGCATAAGTTACTTTGAAATAAATTCTTTACCACAAGTATTAATAATGCCACAAGAGTGGCACCAGTCCAAAATTGAACAGATGCTTTGCAGATAACCCCAAAGAAGTATTCTTTGTGTAAGTTTCAAGTAGCCTTTGTGGAAGGTTGTGGTTCTGTGAGTAGTTCTTACTATCAGGGATACATACATGATATGTCCTCCTTCATAAATGCTTCTCTCTCTCTCCCCCCCCCCTCCACACACACATATTTAAAGGGCTTGGCAACAATGACTTTATTCTTATTTTGATAACATTCACAATACCAAAGAATGGTATTGCTGAATAATATGCTAGCGCTATCTTTAACTTTTTAATTGAATTTCTTCTCATGTGGTAGTTCTTAACTATATTTAACTTAACTGCCAAAATGTTTTCCAAAGCTGCTGTGTCTTTTTCTATTTCCACCAACAATGTTGAGGATTCCAGTTTCTCCAGATTCTTGTTAATATCTCTTTTTTATTATTTCCATAATAGTGCATGTAAAATGGAATCCACTTGTGGTTTTCATAAGCTGTTTTTAGGTCAAAATTATCAAACCACTTTGACATCTCCAAGGATTCACTTTATAGGTTTAGATTCCTCTTTTAAGGTTTTCCTGAGTTTTTATCAGTTTCTTGAAAATGGATTTTTCTTAAAAGACTAGCATATTCAAAGCACTGGTTTAGTTTCTTTAGTCCCTGGAAATGTTTATTTAACTCTATTAGGATTGTATAAACATGTGCTAATTTGTATAGATTGCTAAAATGGGAGATTTATTAATTTGAGAACCTTTGGTACCAAATATCATCTCTACAGCAAACACAAAGTAAAAGAATTGTATCATCAATTGAAAAGACTACATTTCAGCCGGCGCCGTGGCTCAATAGGCTAATCCTCTGCCTATGGCGCCAGCACCCCGGGTTCTAGTTCCAGTTGGGGCGTCAGATTTTGTCCTGGTTGCTCCTCTTCCAGTCCAGCTCTCTGCTGTGGCCCAGGAAGGCAGTGGAGGATGGCCCAGGTACTTGGGCCCTGCACCCGCATGGGAGATCAGGATAAACACCTGGCCCCTGGCTTCGGATCGGCCAGGAAGGAAGACCTTTCTCTCTGTTTCTCTCTCTCTCACTAACTCTGCCTGTCCAAAAAAAAAAAAAAGGATAGGGGACTGAGGCCCAGAGCCTGTCCTCAGTGCTGGCCTGGGGCCAGGGCCTCTTTAAAAACAAAAGAAAAGACTACATTTTAATAAAGAGAACTAGTAACTCCAATTTTACCATTCACCAATAGGGCTAAAATTACATGGACTGAACCCAGACTTTGAAAGGCTGTTCTGCTTTCCGTATGCACAAGACATTTTATCATTGTAAACTTTTAGTAGCACGCAAACAGACATGCAGAAAAACTAACAAACCAGATTTTTTGTCATCTGCCACCCAGGATTCAATATATCTTTGATGGCTGCCATCCAACATATTTTACCAGAGGTATATCCCCTGCCATTGCTTCCCCCACTTTAGAATGTGTTTTTAGTCACAAGCACAGAAAAATTAGCGCTGACTTTTGCAGAAACCAGCACCAGAAACAATCAAAACAAAAACAAAATATGCATGGAAGGTAGTGAAAGAAAAAAGAAACAAAAACAGAAGACTGTTCTGAAGCCTCCTGGGATTAACTCTAGAAGCCAGGCAAAGGCATCTTCGTGTGCAAGCCCATGAAGTGCCCTACTTGGCTTAGCCAACACAGCTTAATTGGCGCAAGTGGGGAAGCATCTGGACATCTTTGGTGAGATTTCTGAGACTATGAGAATGTGATTCTTGAAATCCAACTATCATTTTAATTAAGTCATTATAGCAAAAACCAAAAGGATCATAAGCTGATTCCCAGGATATTCTGAGAAACTCATGTATTATATGCACTCATATACATGTTTAGTCATTAGGCAAAAAAAAAAAAAAAAAAGAAAAGAAAAAAGAAAAAAAGAAAAAAGAAGAAGATTACCTAATCTCAAAACCGGATAATGTTTTAGGTCTATAAAGCCATGGCCTGTTGGGTTATTCTCTCTAGTAGATAATAATCATTTGCCATTTATCAGTTTTCTTCAAATTAACATCTAGTCTCACAGAACTGTAAAATGTAAATAGTAAGTCAAAATCTTACATTTCCCATGCAGCCAAATGACCCTTACGTGGGCATGTTAGGTAATGCTCAACCATGGCACTAAAAGTTAAGACACCTTTTTTTAAAAAAAAAGTAGGTATCATTGGTCTTGAATCCAAGTTAGAGCTCTTTATTCTTTCTCTGAAGCAGTCATGTACTCTAAGATTGAGTTGATGTCAAATGGAAGATTAATGGGCTGAGTACTTTAAATTTTAGAGCCTTATTGGACATACCCAGGCCAGGTGTGTCAGATGACAGCTAGATATATTCATTTGGAGTTCAGAGCTTAGTACAAAGTGAAGAAAAACAATTGGAATCTGCAGAGTGTTAAGTAGGATGTACAGCTTGAGACCAGGTGAGACATCTAGGTTAATATTTTCATATGGAAGAATATAGGTTAAAGGGCTGGGCACTGAAGATCTCAAACATTTAGTGATGAAAGAAGATCAAGATCCTGCCAATAAAGGAAAATTGTGTGAATAAAGCATTTTAAATCCAAGAGAATCAAATGATTCTTCAAACGCATGACATGTTGGGAGGTCCAAAGGCAAGGATTTAGAAGTGACAGGATTTTGCTGCATGAACTCATTGGTGACTTTGTTAAAAGCAGTTAATTTTAGGGAAGTGGTAGGGAGAGATCCTGATTAAAAATTGTTCAGAAAAGCATAGGAGAGGATGTCTAGATTACTGCTTAGGGAGATTTTTCAGCAAAAAGCCAAGCTGGTGGAAAAGGGATGATCAAAGAAAAAAATTGCTTTTTTTTTTCCCTTGATGTTTACAGGTAGATCATATCAAAGACCTTCTGTATGGGGGTAGATCACTTTTTTACTACATATAATTCATTCATCAAGGGGAAGGGTATTGTAGCAAATTTAGTGATGCATGGGTGCATGCTGATATAAACTATCAGAATCATAACCAGTGCAAAATAGAAAAGGAAGGCTTGGAGACAACCTCATGCTGCTGGAGACCCTGGAAAGCTTTCTAAAACACTGCTCTTGAGATACATCTTAGAGATTTGAGGCACACATAAATTAAAGGAATAGTTTTTCATGCGACTCTCTGTGGCAATGGCATTGATTTAAGCTGTGCCTAGTAAATATCACGGCCAGGTGTTGGTGATGTGATTTTCACATGTGTGCAGCAGTAGCACTACTACTCAATTGATCTTTTCCCCTAAAAAAATGGCCTGGATTATTTCAAAATAAATTAGATTTAGAATTTCAGTTATGCTGACCTGTAATTTATGGATGCATATATGTTTTTACTTTGTAAATATAGTTCATTTACCCCCAAAATGCAAGGCAGACGGATGGGGACTTCAGGAAGAGCCATCACGAAGAGCACCAGTGTAAGCGGAGAGATGTACACACTGGAGCATAATGATGGCAGCCAGTCAGACACAGCCGTGGGTACAGTTGGAGCAGGTGGAAAGAAACGGAGATCCAGCCTCAGTGCCAAAGTGGTTGCCATAGTATCCCGAAGGAGTAGAAGTACATCCCAACTCAGCCAAACAGGTGAGTGAAGTGAATTCAACTTAGACATCTTAAGGTTTTGCTGGAGAGACAAGAGTTTATCATCATGCTATGGCTTGTAAGGGGATTATAGCATGTATTTGATTATTCTTCACAAAGAAAATTTATTTTTCTGTCTCTAAAAATCTGTTAAATGTACTCATGTGTTTTTTGTGTGCAGCTTGCTTAAGGAATTATTTGTTTAACTGTAAAGTGGTCAGTTATTTTCCTATAAACCAAAAATGATAACATATGCAAGGAAATGCAAAGAAATATTAGACTTCCAAATTGACTTACATATGTGAAAGCAACAGGATTCTCCTTTTCAAAATGTTCCATGATCAATCATTCATACTTTAGGCAATGGTTATTTCTTTTTTATATAAAATAAGGTCAGTTGTGCAACTTAAAATATAGTCTTCAGGCTACTGTGTGAATATGATAATTGAATTGTACTCGTTATAATTTCAAGTAAAGACTCAGCAGTGGTTTTTTACTTTAGAAAAATGGGTCAGTGGATTCATACAAAGAATGATGCTTTAATACAAGTTTGTGTTTCAAATATTTTTTTCATAAATCTTAAAAGCTTTATATACTAAAGGGATGGGTATGAGTAGATATATATATATATATATATATGCAGAAAGGAGAGTGGCTACTTTTGTATTGTAAAAGTAAATAGAACACTACTGAAAATTACATAATATAATATTTGATCAGACATTAGATAATTCCAAAGCTGTGTGAAACCAAGGTAAGTGAAATATTGAATCTATTTAAATTGTCAGCACTTGTTTCTCTGCTTATAACCATTGGTTCCATTTTCTATTCCTTAAAAGCAAGATTTTGTTATCATAAAATTTCCTTTTACCAAAAAGCTTTCATAAGTTGCTTTTTATAGCTCACTCAGTATTCTGGAAAGCACTGTTTTCAGTTATACATTCTGCTAGATATATGAGTATTGACAAACATATTACAAGTAGGAAATTTTGAGCCATTCAGAAATTGAACTGGTGCATACAGCTATTTATCTGAACAGTTTTGTCTTAAAAACATGAGATTAAAATAAACCTACATTGGCTAGCATTCCTGAGATAGATCTGCCTCTTTGCCATCACATAATTTGAGCATTTTGCTGTGAAGGAAAATAATTTGTCTCTCTTAGGATCAGATTTCTTTGTAGTAGTAGGTGGCATTTTCACTCACTTACTGTTTTTTTTTTTCTTATGGTAGTATTCTTGGATATTTGTTTTGATATAACTGTTCTTTTATGGTATGGGGTGTAGAGAAGGTATTGATGACTAGACTCCAAAATACTTCACCAATTAGAATAAGTGGGAATGTTCTTTGATGTTTAGTTTCCTATGTGAGAAGTTGGAGGTTTATGAGATGGTTTATCTTCATCTCCCCATCCCCCCCACCTTTGCTTTCCCTCTGGTTAGGGGCCTCTCTCTAATGCAGTAGTAGAATAGAATGAAGTTTTTATTACAATAACGGATAGCATAGAAGAGCTGTACTTGTAACATAGCTTTGAAAATAATAAATTCTAATGATTATTGTGGAAACACTCAGCCCCTTCATTTGTTAATTTAAATTTTTTCCTGGTTTTAATCATGTGTTGACTTTAAAATAATATCTAAGTTTTCAGAAGTTCATTGTTAATAACTTCTAGAGAATACCCTACTTTTAGAGAAGAAGTTGCAATGTACAGGTGCAAAAAGGACACTGGATTATAAAGCTATGGTAGAAAAGTAGTTCTACCCCAAGTGACTCCACAAATGTACTTCGACTTCTCTTAGGACTCAGTTGACTATAATAATTATGTATAATGGTGGGTTAAACTAGATTTCTTCCTATGAACTTTTCAGGTGTAAAATTTTATGTCTCTTTCTACTTCATTATTTTACCTTTCATTGGATAATCTATCCTTAGATGCTGTAGTTTTAATTTTTCTAGGTAAATGACAAATGTTGACAGTCCTTAGTTATCATTCCTCTTTAATGCATAGGGTGATTTTCTACCTCTTGTATCTTCCACTAGTGATTGTTTTCTTCCACAATGATTATATTGTGTTGCTCCTGTAGAGTTTTCACCAAAATTCACACTTTGTTATCCTAAGAATTCTAATTTTTTTATTGCTCCAACTTCTTCATATGAAATCCAACCTGTGTTTCCAGATTCTTCTCACTCAAGAAATAGTCCTTAATTTTTAATTTCCTCAGAAAAAATTCTACTTGGGTGTCCCACTTTAAACAAACTTGGTATTTCTACATCTCTCAATTTCTAGCCCTTCCAGTTTTTATACATGTAAAGTTGTAGAATAGTTTTATCTTTTTAAATTTTTTTCCTAAACTCTTCTCCAGGCTCATCACCTCATAACAGCTATCTGGTATGTATCCCATTTTAATAAATACCATTATAATTTATTTTAATATTTTCATTGTGAAACAAAACCCTTAATCTTGGGTTGGTGAGGCATTTAGGGGGCACTCCAAGTGATAATTATGACATACTTTGTAATGGTATTGATTGATCAAATATATGGAGAAGACAGAGTTATCTATATATTAAGACTAGCAGGAATAATAATTTGATAGAATTAAAAAGGAAAGAATGATCCAACATGGGAAATGGGATACACAGCAAACTCATAGAATGACAAATGCCCTAAACAGCACTCTGGCCTCAGAATCCACCCTTAAGGCATTTAGATCTGGCTAAAAAGCCCATGAGAGTATCTCAGGCATGGAATGCCAAGACACTCTGGCCAAAAAGAAAAAAAAAAATGACATAAATGAAAGATCTCTGTGATGAGATCCCAGCAAAAAGAACAGGCCATCAAAGAAGGAGGTACCTTTCTCTGAAGAGAGGAGAGAACTTCCACTTTGGTTATGGCCTTGTCTAAATAAGGTAGGAGTTGTGAACACAGAGGCTTCCATAGCCTTGACAGCTCATGACAAAAGCCTTGGATGATTACTGACATCATAAATAAGAGTGTCAATTATTAAATCAACAATGGGAGTCACTATGAACTTACTCCCACGTAGGACCTCTGTCCTTAATGTGTTGTACTATGCGAATTAATGGTAAAGCTAGTCTTCAAACAGTACTTTATACTTTGTGTGTCTGTGTGGGTGTAAACTGTTAAAATCTTTATTTAATATAGATTTTATCTTTTGTATATAAAGATAATTAAAAATGAGTCTTAATAAAGAATGAATGGGAGAGAGAGTAGGAGATGGGATGGTTTGCGGGTGGGAGGGTGGTTATGGGGGAAGAACCACTATAATCCAAAAGTTGTACTTTTGAAATTTATATTTATTAAATAAAAGTTTTCTAGTAAAAAAAAAAAAAAGACTAGGAGGGTATCCTAAGGCATGGTACTGATGTATTTAATAAAAATGTTTAATTATGCTTAATGTTTAAGAAAAGACTTTAAGGGCTTCTCTCATAGGAAGCTTCTTTGAAACTCACCTTAAGACTCCCTGAACTGTCATTACAGATGACAGATAATTGGGAAAACGAAAAGCATTTATAAATAAAATATAACTCTTTTTTTCATGATAGACTTTAAGCACATCATTTTCTATGTTTGTTTTTATAGCCACAAATATACTCAAATGAGTATATTTGATTCCTGGTTTTTTTTTTTTTTTGACAGGCAGAGTGGACAGTGAGAGAGAAAGGGCTTCCTTTTGCCGTTGGTTCACCCTCCAATGGCCGCTGCAGCTGGCGTGCTGCCGCCGGCGCACCGTGCTGATCCGATGGCAGGAGCCAGGTACTTACCCTGGTCTCCCATGGGGTGCAGGGCCCAAGCACCTGGGCCATCCTCCACTGCACTCCCTGGCCACAGCAGAGGGCTGGCCTGGAAGAGGGGCAACCGGGACAGAATCCGGCGCCCCAACCGGGACTAGAACCCGGTGTGCCGGCACCGCATGGCGGAGGAGTAGCCTAGTAAGCCGCGGCGCCAGCCCTGATTCCTGTTTGAAGTCTTGTAAAATTTATTTCAAAAGATGATTAGCTTAGTAAATTAAATGTGTAATTTATATGAAGATACTTTAAAATGCTCAAGGAAAATGGAATTTAAAGATATGTTTTTATTTTGGTCTTTTTTTTAAAAAAATTATTTTCATTTTATTTGAACAGGGAGAGTCAGAGGCAGAGATCGATCTTCCATCTGCCAGTTCTCCCCCTGAATGTCCACAATATCCAGGCAGAGCCAAACTGAAGGCGGCATCTAAGAACTCAGTTCAGGACTTCCATGTGGATAGTAGGGACCCAAGCACTTGAGTCCTCACCTGCTGCCTACCAGGGTCTGCATTAGCAGGAAGCAAGAATTGGACGCAGAGTGGGGACTCGAAGTCAGGCAGTACCTTAAAACCATTGCACAAAATATCCACCCCTAAAAATTTTTATTTATAAATAGTAGTAACTTTTAAATCACTATTATTATACTGTCTATTCATACCAAAATAGGATAACTTTTTTTAAAGACTTATTTATTTGAAAATCAGAGTTACACAGAGAGAGAAGGAGAGGCACAGAGAAAGAGAGGTCATCCATCTGGTGGTTCAGTCCCCATTTGGCCGCAACATCCAGAGATGCACCGACCCGAAGCCAGGAGCCAGAAGCCTCCTCTGGATCTCCCATGCAGGTGCAGGGGCCCAAGGACTTGGGCCATCCTCTAGTGCTTTTCCCAGGCCATAGCAGAGAGCTGGATTGGAAGTGGAGCAGCTGGGACTCAAACCAATGCCCATTTGGGATGCCAGCATTGCAGGCTGTGGCCCTATTCGCTATGCCACAGCGCTGGACCCTAGAATAACTTTTAAACATACAATATATTTTTTTTGACTAGGAGAGTGACGAACAAGTAAGGTTACCAGTAATGAATCTGGGTGCTGCTACATCAGCCAATCTGGCTCGTCACTAAAATTCTATTGAAAAAGCAGTAGCTAAGTTAGATTAAGAAGGTGTAATACAGGAAAGGGAAATTTCAAGAAAAA